AGCACTCCCTCTCTCCCTCCTCATCACCCTCTCATGTATGCTCATGTGAACAAACTGACTTGAATTGACCACCTGACTGTCTCTTCCTCACCATTCACAAGACAAGTCAATCTAACCTGGAGCCTCTCTCATTGGCTGTTTTTCATTTTCCGATTTAATTATTTTTGAATCTTGACTCTGTCCGTCTGTCTGTCTGTCTATCTATCTGTTTAACTGTGCTGCGTGTTTGTGTGTGTGTGTGCGTGTGTGTGCATACATTGATTGACTGTGGTCACTTCTATGACTCCAGTTGACTGACTGGTTGGTTGTGAAGAGTTTGAGGTTGCGACACCGGGATACACGTGTATGTTGAATTGCTAGTGGATTGGACTGTGTTCGCGTGTGTCTGTCTATTCGGCACTAATTTTTGTGGATAATCTCGTATCGACTATGTGGTGAGTGGATGGAGTTTGTTAGTGTGAGTTGAAAAGTGAAGGGGGCACCCGGGTTTGAACCGGGGACCTCTCGATCTGCAGTCGAATGCTCTACCACTGAGCTATACCCCCGACTCTCCCACCTCCTCAAGCATTCACCATCACACACTCGCATAACACAAACACAAACTAACAATCATTCAACAGTGAATTATTCAACCACAAATTCTCACGACAACCACTCACATCGGAGTGTGTATGAAATACAGACAACACATTCCCAACACAACATAGACAGACAGACACGCACGCACGCACGCACGCACGCACGCACACACAGACAGACAGACAGACACGCAATCACGAACACAACAGATTTGCACATGGACGCAGTGTCCAAGGCCAATGTTGACTTCGACGCCCATGTCGACAATGACGATGAAGATGACAATCAATGATGGTGGCACGGTGTGGAGTGAAAGAATCATAAGAGAATCATAAGAGATTGTCGAGGAAGAGTGTGTGTGTGTGTGCGTGTTTGTTTGTTTGTTTGTCCGTTGGATTGCTCGTTTGCACGCTTGTTTGTTTGTTTGTTTGTTTGTTTGTTGGTGCGCGAACATAAGAAGAAGGAGGACATAAGAAAGGGGTAGAGTGGGAAGAAGTGTGCCTGAGTAGCGGTGTGAGATGTGTAGGTGATTGTGTTTGGTTGTCGAAGAAGTGTGTGAATTAGTTGATGAGTAATTGGCGGTTGATTCTGTGTTGTCGTAGGTGGCGAGAAGTTGGCGTCCCGCGTGGTCTAGTGGTTAGGATTCCTGGCTCTCACCCAGGCGGCCCGGGTTCGATTCCCGGCGCGGGAGCGCTTTTGATCAAACACACCCCACGCTCAATTGTCGCATCAGACAAAATACACAAAGCACACCGCAAAAGCATCATTCCACATTCACAGACAATGCCAACACGCTGTCTGGTCGATGACCAAGTGATGCACAATCCTGTCCAACGGTGACCCATTGCACCCGAAGACTATCCTGACGTTAATCACTGATCTCAGAAATACACGTGGATTTGTGAACTGTCGGTAGCTCGATGAGTGCGTGGAATGCATGCGTGCTTCGACTGTCTGTCGTGGAATTCGCCTTGATTGTGGTTGTTGATGGGGGACATGGTTGCCGACATGCTCATCGATAGGTAGAAGACTGACTGAGTTGAGTGTGTTGTCGGAGACGATTGTCTGGGTGATTTGTGCATCTCGTAGTGTTTGGTATGGCTTTCAGAGTATGTTGTGTATTTGTGAGTATACTTTTGTGTTTGTGTCGGTGAATTTGAAGTGGGTGTTGATCTGCGTCCTTGTGTATAATAAAGATGTGCTTGTGATGAGTGATTGATGATGTGAGAGGTGGTGGTGGTGGTGGTCGCCGCCGGAATAGCTCAGCAGGGAGAGCGTTAGACTGAAGATCTAAATGTCCCCGGTTCGATCCCGGGTTCCGGCAAGTCTGGGTACACCTTTTTCACAACACTTCCTACCAATATGTAAGATAACCACTTCTGGCTATCGCTCGCTGCTCTCACTCTCTATACACGCCCCACACGCTATTCACGCCATACACACGCTACACACGTCTTCCTCGATATCCCATAGCGTCACTAGTAGCGTAACACTCTGTAAGCACTCCCTCTCTCCCTCCTCATCACCCTCTCATGTATGCTCATGTGAACAAACTGACTTGAATTGACCACCTGACTGTCTCTTCCTCACCATTCACAAGACAAGTCAATCTAACCTGGAGCCTCTCTCATTGGCTGTTTTTCATTTTCCGATTTAATTATTTTTGAATCTTGACTCTGTCCGTCTGTCTGTCTGTCTATCTATCTGTTTAACTGTGCTGCGTGTTTGTGTGTGTGTGTGCGTGTGTGTGCATACATTGATTGACTGTGGTCACTTCTATGACTCCAGTTGAGTGACTGGTTGGTCGTGAAGAGTTTGAGGTTGCGACACCGGGATACACGTGTATGTTGAATTGCTAGTGGATTGGACTGTGTTCGCGTGTGTCTGTCTATTCGGCACTAATTTTTGTGGATAATCTCGTATCGACTATGTGGTGAGTGGATGGAGTTTGTTAGTGTGAGTTGAAAAGTGAAGGGGGCACCCGGGTTTGAACCGGGGACCTCTCGATCTGCAGTCGAATGCTCTACCACTGAGCTATACCCCCGACTCTCCCACCTCCTCAAGCATTCACTGTCACACACTCGCATAACACAAACACAAACTAACAATCATTCAACAGTGAATTATTCAACCACAAATTCTCACGACAACCACTCACATCGGAGTGTGTATGAAATACAGACAACACATTCCCAACACAACATAGACATACAGACACACACGCACGCACGCACACACACACACATACACAGACGCACAATCACGAACACAACAGATTTGCACATGGACGCAGTGTCGAAGGCCAATGTTGACTTCGACGCCCATGTCGACAATGACGATGAAGATGACAATCAATGATGGTGGCACGGTGTGGAGTGAAAGAATCATAAGAGAATCGTAAGAGATTGTCGAGGAAGAGTGTGTGTGTGTGTGCGTGTTTGTTTGTTTGTTTGTCCATTGGATTGCTCGTTTGCACGCTTGTTTGTTTGTTTGTTTGTTTGTTTGTTGGTGCGCGAACATAAGAAGAAGGAGGACATAAGAAAGGGGTAGAGTGGGAAGAAGTGTGCTTGAGTAGCGGTGTGAGATGTGTAGGTGATTGTGTTTGGTTGTCGAAGAAGTGTGTGAATTAGTTGATGAGTAATTGGCGGTTGATTCTGTGTTGTTGTAGGTGGCGAGAAGTTGGCGTCCCGCGTGGTCTAGTGGTTAGGATTCCTGGCTCTCACCCAGGCGGCCCGGGTTCGATTCCCGGCGCGGGAGCGCTTTTGATCAAACACACCCCACGCTCAATTGTCGCATCAGACAAAATACACAAAGCACACCGCAAAAGCATCATTCCACATTCACAGACAATGCCAACACGCTGTCTGGTCGATGACCAAGTGATGCACAATCCTGTCCAACGGTGACCCATTGCACCCGAAGACTATCCTGACGTTAATCACTGATCTCAGAAATACACGTGGATTTGTGAACTGTCGGTAGCTCGATGAGTGCGTGGAATGCATGCGTGCTTCGATTGTCTGTCGTGGAATTCGCCTTGATTGTGGTTGTTGATGGGGGACATGGTTGCCGACATGCTCATCGATAGGTAGTAGACTGAGTTGAGTGTGTTGTCGGAGACGATTGTCTGGGTGATTTGTGCATCTCGTAGTGTTTGGTATGGCTTTCAGAGTATGTTGTGTATTTGTGAGTATATTTTTGTGTTTGTGTCGGTGAATTTGAAGTGGGTGTTGATCTGCGTCCTTGTGTATAATAAAGATGTGCTTGTGATGAGTGATTGATGATGTGAGAGGTGGTGGTGGTGGTGGTCGCCGCCGGAATAGCTCAGCAGGGAGAGCGTTAGACTGAAGATCTAAATGTCCCCGGTTCGATCCCGGGTTCCGGCAAGTCTGGGTACACCTTTTTCACAACACTTCCTACCAATATGTAAGATAACCACTTCTGGCTATCGCTCGCTGCTCTCACTCTCTATACACGCCCCACACGCTATTCACGCCATACACACGCTACACACGTCTTCCTCGATATCCCATAGCGTCACTAGTAGCGTAACACTCTGTAAGCACTCCCTCTCTCCCTCCTCATCACCCTCTCATGTATGCTCATGTGAACAAACTGACTTGAATTGACCACCTGACTGTCTCTTCCTCACCATTCACAAGACAAGTCAATCTAACCTGGAGCCTCTCTCATTGGCTGTTTTTCATTTTCCGATTTAATTATTTTTGAATCTTGACTCTGTCCGTCTGTCTGTCTTTCTGTCTGTCTGTCTGTCTGTCTGTCTGTCTGTCTATCTGTTTAACTGTGCTGCGGGTTTGTTTGTGTGTGTGTGTGCGTGTGTGTGCATACATTGATTGACTGTGGTCACGTCTATGACTCCAGTTGAGGTGGCGGGAAGTTGGCGTCCCGCGAGGTCTAGTGGTTAGGATTCCTGGCTCTCACCCAGGCGGTCCGGGTTCGATTCCCGGCGCGGGAGCGCTTTTGATCAAACACACCCCACGCTCAATTGTCGCGTCAGACAAAATACACAAAGCACACCGCAAAAGCATCATTCCACATTCACAGACAATGCCAACACGCTGTCTGGTCGATGACCAAGTGATGCACAATCCTGTCCAACGGTGACCCATTGCACCCGAAGACTATCCTGACGTTAATCACTGATCTCAGAAATACACGTGGATTTGTGAACTGTCGGTAGCTCGATGAGTGCATGGATTTCGATTTGTGATATCTCGATCCATTCCTTGTTTCTTTCCCGCACACACTGTGTTGTGTCTTCGGTGAATTTTTTTCCTAGGGATTACTTTTTTTAATTTCTGCTCTCTTTTTTCTCCTGCATTTTTTATATTTGCATTCATTTCTGCGGTTCTAATACTCTGGATATTGTTTCATTTTGACTGATTTTACAATAGCCTACAATGATTATTTCCACTACTTCGAATCCTGTCGTCATTATTCACTTCTTCTCATTTCCCTTGACTTGCAGGTGGCTCCAATCCAAAGTAACAGTATACCGAAATATCGTCAAGAATCGCCGAAAACTCCACCTCATGTTGTACTGCATTATTTAACTTTTAAAACTGCCTGGGATTGGATTATATTTCTGTTAACTGGATATACATGTATTATAATACCCTACAGTGTTGCATTTGGTCATCATTCATTATCTGAAGAGTCAGTATATTTTGCTGTAGAGCATATAGTTGATATCATATTTTTCATTGATATTGTATTAAATTTTCATACAACATTTGTTGGACCATCTGGTGCTGTTATTTCAGATCCTGTTTTAATACGTTTAAATTATTTGAAGGGTTGGTTTGTAGTCGACCTGATATCTTCACTACCATTTGGAATTCTCGCAGTATTTAGTGATAATGCAGTAAGTTTAAATTATTTCTGATATGTATAGTCATACATATGTATATTATATTACTCAATCTTTGTGTTACGATTGAAACTTAAGGCTTTGACAGTGCATCTCCATTGCATTTGGTCCTCTGTCATCATTTTCAGCTAGCTGCATGACTGCCTACAAGCTCTGGTTTCCTCCTCTTCAGACAATCTTCTCCATATCACCCTCTGACCCTTGCCCAAGTCGTCGCTTACCGTTACAGTTCCAATCAGAGGCCTATTCAGTAGTCTCCCCAGCGTATTCTCAATCCACCTTCATTCCCCTCTGCATATTTCTTGGGTAATAGGTTCTCAGCTGTTTCGTTACTTGCCAGAGTTTTTTTACCTCTTATCCCTTCTTGCCGACCACTTTAACTTCGCTATTAATTCAACGAAGTCGAGCATATATGACAGCCTTCGGGAGGATGTTGTAAGCGCTTTTCATGACACCCTATAGGTCTCTGAAGCATATGGTAGCATTGACAGACTTGGTATTAATGCTAAAACTTCGAATTTTGTTCGTTCTGCCAAGTGCTATAGCTTAATGATACTACTACCAATAGAACTGAGAGAATAACAGGATTTTCAGCGATCAAACCACTGACCATACATAGTCACACTAATACCGACAACTGCTTTTTGTGTTATGGGTCTACTAAATAATACTGTGAATTCACACACGATTCAAAAACTACAAATCTGAAATTCTTTATAAAAGCTCATTACGAATCAAAAGTTATAAAATAAAGTCTACGACGAAGTCAATCTAGTTAATTAAACAGCTGTTTTAGCTTAATTTAATTATCTCTACCTTTTCACGAACTGATGAAGGTATTTGACAGGAGATAGACTTGTAGAAATACAAAGTCGAATTCTAAATCATATGTTTTGTTTAAAAAACCAAAAGGTGATCGATCATTTCACCGAAGATATCTTAAGAACGATGAAAATGCCCAGACGTTAGGAAGCAATCCAGTCTAAGGAAAAAGCAGTTCTTGAATTTCCTTAATTTCCTGAGAACTACATACAGTGTCTATAAGAAAAGTTAAGGGTATTCTATTTCAGATGATAAGAAAGATTGGAAGGGAAATTTCAACTTATTTGATCAGTAATCTTCAAACACAAAATAATTGAGCAAAGAATATCCTTCTCGATAAATCCATCTTCTGGCTCTATAATTATATATATATGTTTATATACATAGAATATTCTAGAATCGTAGTCAATAACAATATTAGTGTTTTTTAAATAATATCGATTTGTAAAGTAAGATCAATGGAATTACAGTTCATTAAAGATGTGCGTCGGCGGCATAGCGGTTAGGACGCTCGCCAACCATGCACATGGTCCGGGGTTCGATCCCCGGCCGATGCACTCCTTTACCTCCCTGAGCCAGAAATAATGCTGGTGAAGAGGAAAGGTTGGGCATGAGGCTAGCAACCCCATCCTGTAAAATAAACACTGCCACAGAAACTTCAAGCCACTAGCTTGAAGCCCTCTGTTCCACTGGGGAACGTGAAGGAAAAAAAAGATGATTAAATAATAATAATAATAAAAATATAATAGCAAATAGAATATCAACTAAAATTATGAAAATTCCACAAATATTCAGGATCATTCAAACCTGGATGGCCAAGGTAAGGATAATGTCTGAACTAACTTCTTTTGGATGCACAAATTAGGCTTCTTTATATGGATCTCAACAGCCTCAGTAATATTTGGTAGTCGAACACTTAAGGCGAAATTGAGATTTGTTGGTATGCGGTAAATGACCCTGAGAGCCTGGTTAACATCAGTCTTGTGTTCTGTATCCACAAGATGAGATAGAATAGCGCTGCGAATAGATTTTGTTTGTCCTTTACTTAACCCCGAAGGGTGATATTCGTAAACCCGATGAGAAACACACCTAATTGTACGGTCTATGTAATTGGCTCCACAGGAGTAGTTAAATTGGTAGATACACATGGAAGAGACGAAATTAGGTAGTGTATCTTTTACTCCCGAACGCAAAAGAGGAGTGGTTTTGAAGACACAGCGTAATTCAGTAGCAGGGAATGCTTTTTTTACCGCATTTCTAAGGCACTGTGTTAGTATCTTGCTGATGTTGTCCCCAAGGAACTGCATTTGTAAGAATAAGGCCTTTTTAGGAACTGTTGGTAATATGGATATATGGATATAAACATAAATATAATTGTAGAGCCAGAAGAGGAATTTATCGAAAAGGATATTCTCTGCTCAATTATTTTGTGTTTTATAGATGTCTGAATGAATATTTTCGCTATAATAATAATAATTTTCAAGTATAAATTATTATAGAAATATGAGAATCAAAATGAAACAATGTACATGTTTATTTCAGATTGCTCATTTTACAAGCATGTTTTCATTTAGATAGGAAGATAACAACTATGATAACAAGTGAATTCAAACTATAAACAACTTTTCCATTTTCAGAACATATTTCAGTAGCTTTCAAGTTTGGTTGGTTTGCAGGGATCTGATTGATTTCAAGCTTGATCAAGAATTGACTTCAGGTAGAGAACTACTGAAAACCAGGGAGTATTGGACACTTATTTCCTCCTTGCCTGAGAATCTTTGACGTTACGCAACAGGAATCGAACCCAGGACCAATCATAAGAGCAATTAAATCCTTGTAAATTAATCTTCTACTCACTGATGAGTGACTACAGAATGAGGTCGCCCGAGGTTCTAGTATGAAGTCGTGACTAGTGGGTTTTGTCAAGTTGGGTATGAGGAAAAACTCTCACCGATGACGCTGACAGACAGCAGCGCTGTATGTCGGGAACTGGCTGAATTCAGGCTTGACGGGCCATTGGCTCGCTCTGTAATTAAAAGGTCCCAGTTTCTATCCCTGGTTGGGTCATGGATGCATATATCTGAAGAGTCTTGTACAAGAAAGAAACAACTCTGCAGTACTCCTTGGTTCTCAAATTGAAGTCACCTTGTGATCATTCTTGAGGCGTTTCAATAAGCCTTTTGGAACACTCATTTCTACTAAACATGTAACCTATTTTCTTATTATTTTTTCCCCTCTTATTTCTAAAGACACTGTTGAATTTGTGCAGCATACTTAAATTGGCTCGTTTATTGAGATTGTGTCGTGTTCTGAGAAAGTTGGATCAATATCTAGAATACGTGGCATCAATCCTGTTAGTTATGCTATTCTGTTTCATATTGTTAGCACATTGGCTAGCCTGTGTCTGGTATTTAGTTGGAATGCATGATTTGAAGGATAAAATTTATCATGGATGGATTATACACTTGGTAAATGAAACAACTGGTCCAAAAAACTGGAGTAATACTTCATGGGAAGATCATTTGCCATCACAGTCTATGCTGTATATGACATCATTTTATTTTACTCTTTCTGTGATCACAAGTATTGGATTCGGAAATGTAGCTGCTAATACAACTTCAGAAAAGATTGTCTCTGTTGTTTTCATGTTGATTGGAGGTAAGTGAGTTGATTCAGTGATGAAAGAGTTACTCAGCTCTCTTTTTCTAAAAAAAAATGATTTTAGTTTGTTATGTATTTTATTGATAAAACTAAAAGGCGGGAATGATAAATAAAAATGTTCTGAATCGAAATGAGCTATATCATGTTGAATGTACCTCTCAAGCTAAAAACTGACTAACTGACTGAATCTTATGAACATACACTAAGAGACCCCAGATGGTTACAGATATAGGGAGGATTTATGACCCAGAATGAAGATGGAAGTCATTTGATGTCCTCCAGTCACTTGCATTTGACCATGGAAATTTTGCCACCAGGTATAGTGACATCTTTAACATTGACTTTCATTAAAATGGTTCTATGCAGTATAATACCGAGTGAAATCTGTTAGAGAAGTAATACAGCACAGCTGAATACATCTCGACCTCAGTTTACAGACTTGGTTTTCACTCTTTTGGGAATTTAACGGAAGAAGCTGTATGCAGACTTGCCTGGAATCTTCAACTCCTGCCTCAATAATTTGTGAAGATTAAGAACAGACGTTATTAGTCAACAGAGATGCGTAAATAGAGAATGTATGGCAAAAAATTTCCATTTACAACTGTGTGTGGATTCAAACATCTAGTTAGCATACATACATAGTGGTGGTTTTAAATTCATTCCATAGATTCCTGATAAACTCCGTCAATTTTCTCAGAAGAAAGATAACAGCATGTTGTGGTATGTACAGTAAGAAATATTAACAGTTAATTATATTGCATTAGTTAGGTCAAGGCATTCAAACGAGAAAAATTTCTTATGCGTAAACCATCGTCAAGTATTGTTTTAATTTATGTATGAAAACTGCTTCTTCATTCCTTAGCATTCCAAGTGAAACGGAGGGCTTGGACTTGAGCTTTGAAATTTCAGTGGTGTCACCAAGGTTTCAACAAGGTGGGGTTGCTAGACTGACTACCGACCTTACCTGTTTTCCGGGCTGACTACTGGTTAAGCGAGGTTTAAAAGCGCGTCAGCCGGGAATCAAACCCTGACCACATCAGGCATGGTTGGAAAGCATTCTACCATTGAATCACTGATGAACATGAATGAATACAATCCAAATGATTTACATCCATCAAAGTCAAACAGTAATCAGACATGAAAGATTATTACAGTCATGAAAAATAAACAGTGGCCAAAATTATTGATAGTATACCTAATATAAACCATTATAAGATTCAATATATAAAATTATTTAAAAGTTTGTCGCATACGAGTGATAAATTGAAGAGTAATGGCTACACATTTTGATTAGATTAAAGGAGAGAAGTTAAAGAATTTAGTAATACTCAAAATACCATACAAACTAGTTTGTTTAATAGCTACTCACTCCTTAACCAAACTACCAATAGTTAGATAAGTGAACTATACACCCAACATCTCACTAGTAATAGTAGAAGTAGTAGTAATGACTAAAATTTAATGAGAAGTCCTAACTAGTGGTTTCCATCAAGCAGAATGTGAAGGCATATAATTATCGATAATATTAAACAGCTGTAGCACTGAATCCCGAAGTGATAGGAATTAGAATTCATGGGCTATTGGATACGCACCAAGTGGATAAAGATGTTCACTTTCATTCCTGATGGAGGTGAAGACTCTCCAACAACACTGAAAAGTTGTCCACTGCCACTTGATTTCCGGTGGTTATTTAACTAATGTAGGTTAGCAAAGAGAAGTCGTGACCAGTAGGGTACAGCAGGTCAGGCGTGAGGATAAATACTCGCCACAGACGACATTGGCTAGTGGTCGCGCCATGTCATGAATTGACAGAAGTTGGAATTCATGGACCACTGGATCGGGGCCCCAGTGGCCCAGTGGTTTACAAGCTCGCCTTGTAATCAGAAGGTCCTGGGTTCGAACCCCAGTGGGTTCGCACTGATGAAGAGTCCCAAACTGGGATATTACACCTGTCCAGTACCCCTTGCAGGCTTTCCAATGGCTCTCTAACCAATGTCAGCTCATGATGAAATGCTGCAACCAATCGATCAAATCCCTACAAACCAATACTTGAAATTTTTTGTTCTTTCGCGTCCAAAGTGAAACATAGGGCTTCAGTTTTGAAGTTTCAGTGGTAGTGCTGTTTATTTTTTAAGAGTACATCAGCCGAGGATCGAACCTCAGATCACACATGTGGTTGGTGAGCATCCACTACCGACACATGAAAACTATATTGTGAATACATTAAAGTTACTGAAATAATTGGTAATTTTAGTTTCAGGAGACTTTTAAATATCTAAGCGTGACATGGTAGAATACTGAGAAGATACTATTTAACTAAGGAAGCAATGTTTGACAAAAAAATGGTAGTCACAGTTCCTAGTAAAATCGTAACACATTTTTCAACCATAGTAGACCTTGTAATAGGAAGTAACCACCTTTTATTTACTACAATACGTATCATATTTGTATTCCCTTGAATAAATCAACTTTGATATGAAAGTATATTGCAGGGAATTTGAAAGATCGACCTTGAAATCTATGAAACTATTAAGATTTGTCGGTAAACTACGAACTGAAAAGCTTTATGCTTATTTCAAAAACAATGTGAAAATATTAGGTAGTGCGGTAGCCACATTAACATTCCATAAAAGGAACTAAACACTACGCTTGCACTTTATTCATACATTCTAAACCATACCATGATAGCCACCTACTGTTACTACTACTGTAACGATAAAAGACGAGAGAGAGTCAAATTATGAACCTCTTATCTTCAACGCACCATTTGCACAGATCTTCCGTGTTGTCCTTCTTTTGTCCTTCATATTGCGTTTCTTCGAGTTCATTTAACATCTCCAATGTTTCTCCGCAATGCTGAATCATTTGCTTTCTCTGAATTAAAATATATCTCCCTGTTATTTGATGTATTTATGCCGATGAAGGTCTCTTTATAGACTACTTACAAATCTTGTCAGTAGCACACTACTACCACAATGGTATTAATAATAAGATTAATTAATAATAATATAAATGAACACCTCTCATATGTATATTAGACTGATATCAAATATCTGGAAGATCATATTTTTGTCATGCAATATCTTAGTCATTTATCAAGGATTAGAAACGCAAGCAGACAAGTAAATAGACACAATCGATAGAATTCCAACCCAAAGAATGAATGATAATAACTGTTACCTGACAATACTGGACTCGATCTCTCATGATGTACTGTATGCGAAATAAAAATAGAACTGGGAAAAAATAGAAGCTTCATTAGTTTCTAGTAGTACTCTAGAATAAATCAGTTTGTGATGAAGTGCATCTTGGAATATGACGTCCTAAAGAATAGCTGTTACCTTCATGTGGTGGTCGGCCTTGCATTACGTGACGAACCAATGGGCTACAGTGGCTGGAATTAACGCGCCTGTACGTCCTACCATGATAGAAATGTCGTTTAGATAGCAATTAGACTGAAAGCAGTTACCGTCACAATGTAAGGTGTTTGCATTATGTTGGATGTCTGTAGTTAAAACCGTACTGCTGGAGAATAGGGATGTTGTAACAGTAGCATGGTATTTCCTTCAGATGCTCAGCATGGTAGCCACGTTACCCCTCTGTTCAAGGGAGATGGAGTTAGAAAAGACCAACCTCAAAGACTGCGGCGGTCCGTAGTCACCTAACTCACTGCCTTCTTCAACGAGCAATGTTGAAAATGAGCTAGGTGTATTCAAATCAAAATCTGGCACCATTCCATGAAGTCTTTGACTTCTGGTTTCAGCCCACCAACCAGGAAGGTGTCAGCACCCTGGTTGAGCTAATGACTAGAGACTACTGGTGACATGACTCAAATTCGTTCTCAGTGGCTTAGATGCCTTCACCCTTTATAATCTGTCATAACCACTAAACTCTGAAGTTTTTTCTGTGTTACTCTTCTTCCTCCCAGCATATTTCTGCTTACCATACTTCTCTTGAATTTTTTTTCGTTCCCCTACCTTTGTGTGCTACATGGAGTGTAATGATTCGAACTGTTACACTTCCATGCAAATTTCCATGCTGAAACCCAGTGAGTCAGTCAGTCAGTCAGTCAGGAATATGGCGCAACTAGCCATTTGCCTTTTTTTAATAGATTATCTGTCTAAGGAACAACGTGGATTTAAATTATCCAAAATGCAGTTATTTATGCATTTAGAGTACAGAGTTAGACTTAAAATTCACTAATTTCAAATTAATTATCGACTATAATTACCTTGAATCTCTCTGAGGGATATTTGATGCGGTAAGGAGAGCTGAAGTGTTGCTTTACTTATTTTCATACTTATTACATATTACACTGTTTACTAATATTCATAATACGGTAAATAATATTAACACTATTTCATGTCTTAATTAGTTTTCAAAATGAAAATGAATGGATAAAACTAATTATAACTTTAAGGCGTTACTCATTACCTTAAAAATAACCATCTAACATGGAGTTCAGTATGTTTTAAACCAACTCACTTACCACTGTTATCCTGTTAGTGGTTACTAGCAGTGGAATTCAAAACAGGATTTCCGTTCTACCCCAAACTCTTTAGTCGAGTGCACGTCGAACCCCAATAAGTAGTCGTCTTCTTACTGAGTCTCAAACCGAATACTCATCATTTCAGACGCCACTAATAAGGTGCATTTGGAAAGAAATGGGCATTGCAGACTCCAATACTACCCTCCATCAACCACGTAGCATCATGTTAACCTTCAGACATAATCAAAGATTCTATACTAACAACCGACAGATCAATAAAGACTGACTATTTCTACCTAATAAAAATAGCACCCCAAGGGAAATACTAAATAACCTGAGCAGATAATCACTCATTTAGAGTTTAATTATGGGTAAAAAGCCTGGAGTGATATGACAAAACTGTAACGTCAACAATAATTCCTATTCGGGTTCCACTCGATTGTCTGCCTATTGTGTGATGTTAACCAATGGTCTCCTGAGTGTATGACAAATCCATCTATGTTTTATTCAGCATTATGGTTGAGTAATAGGTCCTTGAGTTTCTTGTTGCTAATTCTTTCCCACCGGCCATCTGATCTTCAATATGAAGTCAGCGAAGGCAGGTGTTGACGGAGGTCTTCAGTAGCCCGCTGGAAATGCTTTTCGTGATGCCTAGGCCAATTTTCTAAATCATACAGAAGCATTGATTTAATATTGGTATTGAAATTCCAAATCTGGTTCTTCATGCTGATCGCTGCAGATTTCCAAAATGATATCAGAGTGACGATGGTCTGTCCTTCCTTTATGCGAAGTATAATCTAGTAAAACTCACGTGCAAGAATTTAAAAGAAAGAAACTATGAGTCTTGAATCAACACTTGCTTTCTAATTATTGGGTTTTTTCGACTGCACACTAGTCAGTAACTGCCGATTGCCTCCAACTATCTAATACCAACAATTCATAGTGAACCGTAATGGCTAGCCACCTAGCATGGTGACCACACTGCAAACATGACTGATAGAATTCATTCTGCACCGAAGATAGGACTAGACACATTACACTAGTTACTGACTAGTGTGCAGTAGAAAATATCCAATACAGTCCTACAGGAGGTCAGTCGCGAGCCTGAATAGCTCAGTGGTAACGTCTCTGACTACAGCAATGGGTGACACGAGTTCGAATCCCAGAAGGGACATGAGTTCCTTCAAGGTTGCAGATACGCCTTGCTGATGAGTGCCAATTAGCACGAAACCTAGGTCCAAGGCTTCCTGCCGATTGCTTCCAACCATCTAATTATTGGGTTATACAGCGGGTTATGGACTGTCTGGTTTACTTCACTTCTTTATGCATAAAGATGTTTACGTTTAGTGAATTAGACTCACTATCAATTCTGTTCACTCATCTAAGATCGGTTACTGATTAATCTTCAGTTTTGTTTTTACAATTCAGTTACCTGAGTCAGAGTTTTCATGTACGAGGTCATGAGCCACGATTGTTATGTGAGGATTAATGTTATTAGACAGTTACTAAGACTGAACTAGGCGGAATTCGTACCTGAAACCCATCAGCTGGAAGCCATATGCTTAAACTAATGAATTGCATCCCAAGCGTATCAGCAGCAGTTTAATTCTCTTAGTGAATACGGACAAATATTCTCAGGGTGAAATGAGTTCATCTTATTTCATTGCTGTCCACCATTCTTTTTTTTGTTCCTTTACGTTCCCAGTGGAATATAGGGCTTCAAGCTAGAGGCTTGAAGTTTCGGTAGCAGTGCTGTTTATTTTTACAGGATGGGATTGCTAGCCTCATGCCCAACCTTCCCTCTTTACCAGACCTATTACTGGCTTAGTGAGGCAAAGGAGTGCGTCAGTGGCCGGGGATCGAACCCCGGACCACATGTGTGATTGGTGAGCATTCTACCTCTATGTCACCGACGCACCATTTATAAATCCCGTAAAATAAAATAATCGGTAATTAGCTATCACAACTTAACTTCACCTTCCAGTCGTTTATCAAATAAGTAAATTTTAACAAGCTCAGTTGAAATTTCATCGAGAAACGGTTGTCTTGTATTTAGGCTCACAACACTCTCTTGACTTTTAGGCCTATTTAGCTCTTACAAAACATTTTTTGTACTAAAAATGTAATATGCGAATGTGTAAAATTTTAGTTACATGCATTTATCTTGTTCTTCCCTTAACAACAAATCTATTTTTCCTATTTTTAAAAAAACAACAGCACTTGTTTACGCAACAATATTTGGTAATGTTGCAACAATTTTACAACAAACACATGCAACTCGAGCTAGACTTAGACAGTTAATGTCTAGTGTAAAAGATTTTCTGAGAATTCATGAAGTACCAAAAGAATTGGCTGAACGTGTCATTGACTATGTGACATCAAGTTGGTCTATTACTAAAGGTGTAGATACGCAAACAGTAAGTCGACAAAATCGCATGTAATATATATTGTTCGACATTGTTATTTAATTGTAACGGATCCACTCACTTACTACTGAAATCCGTCAGTAATTATGATGATAGGGAAATAAGATATAGGCAGGGGGAATTTCTTCAGCTCAGCATGAATTTTATTATTGATTTTCATTATTTTATTCCTTTGCGTTTCCAGTGGAACATAGGGCTTCAAGCTACAGGCTTAAAGTTTCAGTAGCAGTGGTGTGCATTTTTACAGGATGGAATTACTAGCCTCATGCCCAACCTCCTCCCTTCACCGGTCTTATTACCGGCCTAGCGAGGTAAAAGAGTGTGTCTGCCGGTGACTGAACCCCGAACCACCCATGTGATTGCCGAGCATTCTACCGCTGTACCAATGACGCACTCTCAGTATAAGTGGACACAGATAATTTGAAGCTTATCATTCCAGATATACTTTGCAGATGAATACATAAGAATGAGAAAATAAAGTTTAACTGTACAGTGTGGTTACTCTTGGCTGTCTGGTGCAGAGAGTTTTAATACTTCCTTACTTGGTTTAAGGCCATGGTCGAAAAATTTGATTTGTTGTAACCATTTTGAAACTGAACTGTAATCGAATAACTACTTTCTGATACCAACTAGAATTACACATTTCGTCATCGTTTTTCCCTTCAACTGTTTTCATCTTTAATGATTCTCATAATTTCATCTTCAGAAATGTTTCCAAACAGTCAATACCACATTACTAGATCTGGTAGTTACTGCTGTCGAATTTCTACAGGTGTACATTACCAAGAAGTTTTTATTGTTTCAATTGATCTTTAGTCTACGAAAGTGAAAATAAAAAATCTGTCATCGCTTCTCATCTCTCAAAAAATAGTTCAGTTTCCTATTCGGAGTACTGTTACAAAGTTTTTATTTACTAAGCATTTTGATAACTAGGTCTTATATAGAACAAAATGGGATATAAATGACCGATATTCAGTTAGTAAGGTTCAAGTAACTGCGGGGGGGGGGAGGTACTTCTTCAGCTTCAGTGTACACAACTAGATGCCCTATACATATGGTATTTACGAAGCTAACAAACTCCATTCCAAATCCCAAGAATGATAAGATTTCTCGCCATTCTAACATTGACCTGTATCTTCATACATTTATTCCCCTTATTAGATTGTTGGAAACAATCGTCAGGAAGCCTTGGACTCCGGCTTCGTGCTAGTTGGAACTCAACAGTCAACAAGGAATATCTTCAATCTTCAGGGAACTCATATCTCTTCTGAGATTTGAACCTGTATCGCCCAGTTCAACAGTCAGAGACGTTACCACTGAGCTATTCGGGCTAGCGATTGACCTCCTGTAGGACTGTATTAGATACCTTGATTGGACACTAACTAATGTCATATGTCTTGTCATTTTGTTTACTGCAGACTGAATCCTATCAGTCAAGTTTGCAGTAAACAAACAACTAGACACATGAACTAGTTAGTGTTCAATCGAAACTTATTCCCCTTTATGAATCTGAATAAAGCAAGAACAACAGCTTGTGCAGAATAAGACGGTATCCTCATTTATTTCGTCGGCTTCTAATCAGCTGCGTACAGTCTATGAAGTTTATATACACAACAGTTTTAAAATACTTGCAAATGTTACGTAATGTCAACTGATATCAAGCTCCAAACTTTATAAACAGTACTCAGAAATTACATGTACAGTTTATAAAGAGAATTTCTAACTTTAAACGAGGGAAAAAAGGCTTGGATGTAATAGCAAAAGAGTTACGTAATAAGATAAAAGGTGAATAAGATAATGAGTAACAATTTGTTAAGTTCGAGTCAAATCGCAGAAACAAGAGATAAGCGGCGTTACACTATACCAAATGGAGAAGAGTTTAAAGCCGAAGGTGACGTAACCAAGTGAAAAACAGAGTAAATACATTCAGTTACCAGGGCAAGGAAAGACTGATAACCGCTTATTTCTAAACACATAAATCAGGTTTCAAGGGTTTAACAGCAACGATTTAGGCAAACTATTTTGCCTATTGATAATTTGAAGGGAGAGAAAGAAAGACCAGATTTGCAAATCTGGTCTTTCTTTCTCTATGGAAATTTATCAAGGGAACCAAATGTATGAAATTTGAAGGGATTTCGTGACATCCACCTCATAGCCCATATTGATGAGATATCTGGCAGCGGCATTGTTGTAAACGTTTGTTCCCTTGGGATGCAGGATTTTTGGTACATGTTCAAAAAGTCGAACGTGTGGCCTTTCCCCATAATTTCAGACTCCATTTATATTGTATCGTGGTCTTTATTAGATGGTTTATCTCTAATCTTCTTGACCGCTATTTACACTATCAAGCCGATCACACGTTAGAATCGGAATATTTTTGAGTTCCTATAGGAAACTTTAGTGAATTTTCACCTGGTATTGTGCAACCAGTACAATATAATAAATTTAAATCTGAAAATTTGTAAATATTTTACATTTCCTTCTCTATTCAAACTAATCTGTTGAATAATTTAAACAAAACACTACACCTAATGTCTGTTAAACTGTAATAAAATGCGGTCATGAACTAAGTTAAACTAAATTATTAACAAACTTTTTGAATTTTATTTTACAACGTTTACTTATATTACTTAATTTCTATTCAGGTACTTAATCATTGTCCAAAAGATATGAAAGCTGATCTATGTGTTCACCTCTATCGGGCTGTATTTAGTGAACATCCAGCATTTCGTTTAGCAAGTGAAAGTTGTCTACGTGCTTTAGCTGTTTCATTTACTGTTCAGCATACAGCTCCTGGAGATTTAATTTTCCATCAAGGTGAAAGTATTGATCAGTTGTGTTTTGTTGTATCCGGTTCTTTAGAGGTGATACAAGATGATGAAATTGTAGCTATTCTGTGTAAGTTATCCAGTCACCCTTTTTCTATCTCTGTTCATATTGACTTGTACTTTCAAAATTAAGGTTTCAGTCGAAAAAAAAACAACAACATCTTAACAGCTTAACATTGTCAACAGTTGTTTTCTTCATGACAAAATGATATAAATTGTCTCTGTATGAATATTTAAAACTGGCTACATTGCCTAAGGCAGAAATAACTGGGTGAATTAGCAAGCATGTGTGTACACATTCCGAAATCAACTCATTTTGCGTCTTCGTACTTTTTTTTAAAGGAATGGTATTTACTGCTGATTGTTTTCATCTGCTTAGATAAAGTATATCAAGGACTTCCTCGACTTTCTTCGTATTGATGAACTGACTGAAAACGTGTTCAACTTTAAGGTCTACTTTTGTGATGATTACTTTTTATACAATGAAAAGAAGTGTACTAAACAAATTGATTGATTTTCTCATAGTCAGGGAAAGTTGTTATAGAAATGATGCAGAAGAGTTGTAACTCAGGTGGACGATACTGGTGTAGTTGTGTCCTCTAAAATGTTTAGCTTAATTGCGAAGGTTTCATTGTCTTTCGAGACGAAATTTTCAATGTAGTCTTCACAGTAAAGTGAGCTTTTAGAATTCTTTATGAGTCTGTTAGCCTTTTATCCTGATGACTTTGAGTGTTTTAAGTTGTTTTTAGAAATTTTCTCATCCTTTCGTCCAAATGAAATTGGTATTGATTATTTTCTTGACCTGATAGTTGACTTTAGTCAGTGTGACTTGCTTTTTAATGTTTGATGAATTCTCTGACATTTTCAATATTTCCTTTTTTAGATTTGTATATTTTTTCTATTTCAACTGGTGTCTGCAGTTGTCCGCATGTCTTTTGAAAGCAAGTTTATCTTCGTTGATGTGGAAATGATTAGGTTGTCCACTTCGACCAGTATAATATCTTTCATATTTGTCTCAGTTTCTCTTATAAATGATTTTTGTTTTGTCCCCTTTGGCTGTTTCGTCTTTTGGTTAACTTAGTTCAGACTGAAGTGATTTTGTCGATTTGTGGGCGACATATATTCCAGAACAATTCAACAGTCTTATAATGACTTTAGACATGTTCTTCATACACGGTAGGACGATTTTATTTGTGCATCCATTGCATGATTTAAGGCTGGTCGTTTAAGTTGAGGGTAGATTTCTTTTGATGAAGTTTCGTGGATATTGATTTTTATAGAAGACCGCCATAAGATATTTCCCCACTATTCACTTCTAGGCCGGAGGGCTACAATATCCCCTGTCTCTTCTAAGTAATACTGGTTGGTTTATTTGATCCACTTCAAATGAAAATAAGTTTCAAGTATTGGTTTTGCAGGGATTTTGTTTGATTGATTGGTTGGAAGATTTCATCATGGGCTGACATCAGTTAGAGAACCATTAGAAAACTCCTACAGGGAGTACTGGACAGCTGTCTCGTCAGCATAGCTTGGAACTCTTCAGCAGTACGCACCCACTGCGGTTCGAAAATAAGTTTCCTTTGTTGTCATTTTATCAGTTCTTTCCACAAAGTCGTCTAAAGTTTACCCAGGCATGTAAAAGTATTCCATGTTTAATATTTTTAAAAACATCCAATTTATCACTCCTGAACATGGAATATACACAAAAAATAAATAACCTTTTTTGATTTTCTAGTTATCTGAAAATATGTAAATAAGTAATTATTTCAAGGTTTTTGTAATACCTTTTGTGCTTTTAGAATAATTGAAGTTTCAAATGATAATTTAAACTTTACTGTCCTGCAGATTTGATTAAATCTTTGTTATATCTTGTTTAAATATGCAGAACAACAGAAGGAATCTGAATCTGAATGTCTCTATTACTGCTTCCAGTTTACTCAGTGCATCATTTTTTTCTCAAGAAAAGTGGATGAATACCTCAGTTGAATCTTAAATGCAGTCAGACATTCGCATTGTGCATAATTCGTGGTGAAATTACACCACATTTCAGTCATATTATGATATATGCTAGACACCAATGAATGGCTTCAAGAAAGTAAGCAGAAATGCTACAGAATATGCATTACCGGTTGATGCTACTAGGGGGAAAAAGGTCATTCACACTGAACAATAGTGTATATTGGCCAGTGTATTATGATCTAAATATACAACTGGTACTTCCTTCTCTGGGAGTGGTAGTAAGTAGTAAATAGCAATCTCACTCTCGATGTAAGTAGGTGTAATAGTTACTGTCTGGCAGAACTACTGTCTTCAAGACACATCTCGTCACCGAAAGAACTCAAGGAGTAACCGGAAAGCTGTATGTCAAACTAATTTAATTTCTTCCTGTTTTTTTTCCTAAATATCTTTCACAGCTAAAGGTGATATATTCGGTCAACCAATATTTAAAGATACAGATGTTGGCCAAAGTGCTGCCAGTGTACGTGCCTTAACCTATTGTGATTTACAGTGTATTAAACGTGACAAACTTATAGATATATTGAAATTTTATTCACAATTCGCTGTTTCATTCTCTCGTACACTTGTATTGAGTTATAATTTAAGAAATCGTGTAAGTTTATCAATTGTTTTTATTCTGTTTTAACTATTTGAATTGTTTACATAAGATGATGCATATTATAAACCATGAATTGTAATTGGTTTATTGAATGTAAAATAAGCCACAAACTTTAAATGTCTTCATTTTAGTATCCTATTTAATACTCTACATGTTTGCATGAGAATACAGTTAGTTGTACAATAACACTAGGTATATTTTTGAAATGATAATGATTGTTTCACTTCAGTAAATAACGAATTATTTATTTATTTTATTCCTTTACGTTCTAAGTGGAACATGGAGTTTCATGTTTCAGCTTTGAAGTTTCGAAAGCAGTGGTGTTTATTTTTACGGGGTAGGGTTGCTAGTTTCACGCCCAATCTTCACTCTTTACCGACCTTACTACCGGCTTAGTGAGGTTTAGGAGTGCGTCGGTGGGACTGAAAACTCCGAATCACGTGTGTGGTTGGCGAGAGTTCTACCGTTGAACTACCGACGCACAAATAACGAATAACTAATATCAATACTGATAGTCACTTTGAAAAGACGAATATTGCGAGATGATTTCGTTGAGTAGTTTCTATACAACTGCATTACAAGTAGAATGCCTGACAATAACTCGGTTAAATGAAATAAGGAAAACAATAGACTTCAACCTTTGCCTACCTTTGGACTAGTTGACCTTTTACAAAAACTACAATTTATATTAATATGCACTTCTATTTTATATAAGTGATCATTTGTCAAATATTTTATTTGATTGCATGGAGGACTTTATCATGAGCTGACATCAGTTAGAGAACCACTGGAAAACCACGTGGGAGTACTGGACAGCTGTTTCGTCTTAGTTTGGGACTCTTCACCAGTACGCACCCACCGCCAGCGGTCGAACCTAGGACCTTCTGGTTACCAGGCGAGCTCGTAGACCATTGAGCCACTGGGGCTCGATCCAATGGTCCTTGAATTCTAACTTCTGCCAATTCACGATATAGCGCGACCGCTAGCCAATGTCTTCGGCGAGTATTTGTCCGCACACCCGAACCCTGGTGGGTGCGTACCGCTGAAGAGTCCCAAACTAGGACGAAACAGCGGTCCAGTACTCCCAGGTTTTCCAATGGTTCTCTAACCAATGTCAGCTCATGATGAAATCTTGTAACCTATCCTTCAATATTTTAGCGGTCCTGTTAAACAGTGATCACATCAAAACTCAAATTTACCTCAAAACATGGGTGTGACGCAGCTATACAGGCAATGTAGGTTTCTAAATACAAAAAGCACTGTATAACAAAATTAGTTAACGAAAGTTCAACTATATAAAGTACCTTAAAATCAAGGAGAATATTTCCAACGAGGTGGGACCAAAAGCTCTGTCTAAAGGAGACACACACAAACGCTTCCCGCAGACAGTCCCGGTTCAGAATTACCTTCCTTCACTCAAACAAACTCATATCGTTAAACAACACATTGTCAATGTACACCCAACCACAAAGAGAAGTATTACAATTAAAGATTAAAAAAGGGCAAAGGCAAATAATAAAGGCCAATATCAACATGTTATATGCAAATGTCAAATTACTGATACACAGTCTAGGAGAAAAACGTATAATAATTAAAAAGTTAGTCGAGACGCCTAAATAAGTATAACTATTATGAACAGATCGTCGAGGAGGGATTCTCCAAACAATTTGTCCATTACAATAATCATATATCAAAATTTATTCTTATAATACTTGTCGCATATTATCAACAATTATCCAATGATAACAAGGAAGATTTTGAGGAAAACAAATAGAAAGTAAATTGGTTGTAGTCAACACCGGAATCCAGAAGATACACGTTGACTGAGCATACCCGCATCTTAGAGTTAGTTTTTCTCTCTAAGGTTTGAACGAAATATTGTTTAAATCTCAGCAGTGAGAAAGGTAAACAGGCATGCATTATTCTGAAATCAGTATAGAGATCTACAGCACTTAGTACAAGGAACAAGAGGAGAATTTTCAGCACTAATATCAAGTTATTGCTTCAGTATCCATGACAGACTAGGTGCATGTGTCACGGAAACATTTTCAACAGTCAGTTACAGACTTTCATCATCAGAGACCTTCGCCAGCTCTTTATTGAAGATCGGATTACTGTTTGGGAAGTATAAGCAATACGAAACTCTGGTAGAGTAGTGAACCAGTCATAGATCTACTACCCAATAAATATGCAGAAGGACATGCGGATGGACTGGACATAAACCTAGAAGACATTCAGGTGACATCACATGCCAGTCCCTCCGGTGCAACTCAGGTAGGAAGCAACGTTGTAGGCGTCCGACAGTAACATGGAGATTATGTGAAGACGAAATGAAAGCATGTGAACCTTCATGGAGGCAGGTGAAAGTGATGACAGCGAATTAAGTAGAATGGAAACGTATAGCTGAAACCTTGTTTTCCAATCGTAACTGAAGGAATAAATAATAATAATTGTTTAAATCTAATACCAGTCTACTGAGTTAAGAAAAATGTCATCAGCGCTACAGATACGAGTTGTGACTCAGTTTTTCAGCCATTCTAACTACTGAATTCCAGACTAAATCAATGCCTCCAATGAATGTTGATATTCCCTTTAGGTAATATGTTAAATTTAGATTTTATAAAGAATGATGGTTTTTATAACACCATCAGGTACCTGCTAAGTGGAGGAAAGGCTACCTATTCAAACTGCCAAAGGAAGGAGATTTAAGTCAATGCAAGAACTGATGCGGGATTATGCTCCTGTATATCCGAAGCAAAATACTAAGCCGCATCATCCTGGAGAGAATCAAACAAGCCAACCTGGATGAAAAACTTCGACAGGAAGAGGTTGGATTCAGGAGAAACAAATCATGCATCGATCAAATCGCAACACTACGGATCATCATTGAACAGAGCTTGGAACAGCAGTCAGCTCTCGATCTCAACTTCATTGAACTTGAAAAAGCCTTCAACAGCGTCGATGGTGAGGTGATTTGGCAACTACTTCTCTACTACGGGGTGCCGCCGACAATTATGCATCTCATCCAACGGTTGTACGACAGTGCTGCATGCTAAGTAATCCATAACGGGAAACTCACGGAATCCTCTGAGGTGAAGATGGGAGTAAGACAAGCTGGCTGCCTACTATCTCCAGTGATTTTCTTGATTGCGGTAGACTGAATAATGCGACAGACAGCGGGCCGGGGAACGAGGAAACAGGCATAAAATGGACCCATACAAAAAACTTGGAGGATCTGAACTTCGCCGATGATATATGTCTGATTTCCCACAAAGTGGAAGATATGTAAGTGAAAAGCAACAAGTTGGCAGAGGAAGCATCAAAGATAGGAAGGACTTTAGGTGAACATAGAGAAAACAGAGGTGATGGAGATTCCTGGCTAACAACAATGGCAACAACAACAGACAACAATCAGCCAGCATAAATGGGAGAAATCTTACCTACCTACCTACCTATCTGGGAAGCATCGTTTCAACTACAGGCGGAACTGATGAGAATATCAAAGTGAGGATCAAGAAAGCAAGGCAAGCTTTCATTTCTCTCAAGTCTGTGTGGAGGAGATCAACAGCACTCAGCATGAAAAATAAGATTCGAATTTTCAACTCCAATGTGAAGTCAGTGCTACTATACGGATCAGAGACTTGGCACGTCACGAAGGGCACTTCGAACAAACTACAGACCTTAATCAACAGCTGTCTTCGCTCAATACTCAGGATCAGATGGCCAGCCAGAAAAGATCTGCTGATCAGCAACAGTGATCTCTGTGAGCGAACCAACACAGCAGGAACCGGTTGTGCAACAAATAAGCAGGAAGAAATGGAGGTGGATTAGCCATACTCTGAGAAAACAAACCATCAAGTGACATCACACGCCAGGCCACCGCTCGAGTGGAACCCGAATGGGAAGCAGTGAGTTGGTCGTCAGTGGGAGTTTAACATGGAGCAGGTCATGAGAATAGGAGATTAAAGCGTGTGGACAAAAGTGGAGCTAGGTGAAAATGTTGGTGGAGAACCCAACTCAATGGAGACGTGCGGCTGAAGCCCTATGTTCCTCTACGAACTAAAGGAAATAATAATAATAATAATAATAATAATAATGACACCATCAACAGATTGATCATGTGACTTAAAACAAACAAGCTTTGAATATGAATAATAAACTAAATCTATTCGTCACTCCCAACTCATTTAATATTAGAAGGATATACGTATTCATAATGTCCAAAAGGATGCAACGTTATATTGTACTTATTAGCTAATTATGAATAGCTGAGTCAAAAGTACGTGATTTCTTCTTTTATTTCAACAATAGAACAGTGAGTGTATATCTATACTTCAATTACCACTATGTCGTGAGATAGAGATTTATGGGATAATACCACTTAAAACCAATTCTACTGCATTAAGCCATGGGAAAACAAATGCTTTCCCTGGCTTTTACATTATCGTCAATAGTACGCTTTATAATCTCTAGGCTGTCTCTAAACTTCATTAGAAGACCAATGAATAACAAGTAACACTGTCCCAGCCATGAACATTTCAGTAGTGTGCACTAAACCTTTTCACAGGATTCAGTTGAAAGGTCTCTAAAGGTCAAGCAATTTAAGCTTGATACTTCATAATTAGATTGAGACTTGTTGACTAATATTTCCCCGACTTTCATCAGCTTATTTTCTTCTTTTTTTATCAATTTTCACTTCAACTTATTAAATCTCATCTTTTTCTAAATATTTTATATTATTCTTATAGTTAGTATTTCGAAAGATATCTGATGTACGACGAGAACAAGAATTAAATGAAATGCGACGTACACAACCACCAATATCAAGTTTAGCACCAGATCATCCAGTTCGACGATTAATATCCCGGTTCTGTAGTGTGGCTACATCGAATTTAAGTCGATCAAGCTCATTCAGTTCAAATGAACCAAGAGAAAGTGGGAAAACTAGTGCAAAGTCGAATGACACTTCGTTAAGTGTTACTGTAAGTTTATATATATGCATGTATATGATGTTCTGTGCTTCAATAAAGCCTAATGATCAACGCATAACTGATAATTTTAAATAATTACCCTTAATCAAATCTCTACTGTGTAGTATGTTTAGTATAATGTATATTACTAAGAATGTTTGCCCTTACATTACGCATGATACATATGTATATATATATATATATACCGAATAAGTAAATGAATATTCTCTGTGACGCCAATATTTCACGAAGACTGTCCAGCGATTAAGCGGTAGAAAGCTCTCCAACCACCCACTTGATCAGGACTCGATTTTTTTGAGGGATACTCTGAAGATGTTGTCTAGAAAGACATTGGAAGGTTTGCAACTATAAATCACCCGGCTCAGAGAACACAACACACACCAGTATCATCTACATGAGCTACTAATCTTCTCCATTCCATCCTGAAGGTTTATATATGACATAAATTCTGCTGCTGCTGAACACACGATGGAAACACTTCAGACTATAAATGATCCATCCCCACCCTTTGAGATGTATAGAAAAGAAACAGAAAGGCAGGATTCAATCCTTAGGGAAAGGTTAATATTAGCGAGAAATAGAACAGCTATGCTTGAGTGTGTGTGTGATCATTTTGCATAACTAATTAACCTAAAGTTTACGACAGAAAAAATTGTCCTCTTTCAAAGGGAACAACAATAAATTCAATAAAACATCAATAATATCAACCATGAACTAGATTAACGACAGATATTCAGTCTATGCCTTACATTAAGAAGTACTGATCAATAAAAAATGTCATTTTGTCCATCTCATTACAATACTAATCATTGATTGAATCATCTAAGCGAGAAATGAGTTTGTTGACATACTACCTTGAATGATTGAAAAATTCATTAGCATTTGGAAATATGTGATACCAATCTGTGATCAACTCGTAAAAATAAATCTAATCCTTACAAACTAGATCTTGAAAGTTAATCTGATGCTCACTAGAGACTTGCTACAGGATGGAGTTTCCTGGAGTTATGGTGAGAAGTCGTGACCAGTGACGTCCATCTAGTCAAGTGTGAGGATGGATGTCCCACCAATGACTTTGGTTGGTGGTCGCACTAAATCACGAATTGGTAGAAACTAGAATTTATGGATCATTGAATCGGGTCCTAGTGGCTGAATGGTATACGGGCATGACTTGTAACCGGAAGGTACTAGGTTTGAGGCCCGGTGGTGGGTGAGTACTACCGATGATTCCCAAATTAGGATGAAACAACTGTCCAATACTCTCTGGTTTTCGATGGTATAAGTATAAAACTTGGGCACTGTGGTAGAGCATAACTCCATTATGGATAAGATTTTCAATGGTTCCCTAACTGGTATCAATCTGTGATCAACTCGTAAAAATATGTGATACACATAATATGACCATTCCTGATGGCTTATATTAAAACCTGGATATGAGACGACAAAAGTTAAATCTTTTTCAAAACCTTAACATATTCACTGGCTTTTTGTTGTTACGCATGAAACTTTTACTGAAACTTTTGTTTCTAGTCTACAGAAAGGTACAAAGTTCGTTCACTGTGCCCACTGTTGTTTCAGATTCTTTCCTTAGATTACTCTTACTGTGAATAAGTTTAACGTGGCAGACACTGAGTCCCAGGTTGCACACCAGTTGTTTTCTTACTTTTTTTTCTGAAAGGAAAAATTACCCTGGAGACGCTACACCTTACTGCTTATTGAAGCTGGTGTGTCTCAGAGTGATGTACTTTCTTCACTCCTACCTTCCTTACTTTTGCATGACTCAACCTGCTGTTTTAAACTTGGTTTCATCAGGTATTATATCATTCCGACAGCTTATTAATTAGATTATTGACCAGGGATCTTATCCATATGGCATCGAACTTAGTTCATCTGAATGTCAAACTGTTAATATTAGTTTCAGGCTTAAGCATAGCTCATGAATCTTGTAGTATTCATAGTCATATTCTGCAGAATAAATTTAATAGTATCTACCTAAGTGTTAGTTTTTCACGGGAAATTTAATGGTTATTTCGCGGCTTTTGTTGATTAACATGTATCACACTAGATAAGGAAACAAAGATTTTCTCGTGTAACTCAGTCTCTCCTTTTGTGACTCACTAATTCCTTTGTTCTACTCTTAATCTAGTGTTATCCTCCTTTATTCTCTCCTTGAATGTTTTGAAAAGGGACCATGCTGCATCACATGACACTTTGAAAAGTGTAAGCAAGACTATTGGTAGGCTTGTGATCTAACCAACTGACATTATCGTTTGCGGACATTTGAAATTGTACAAGCAGTTTGGTAAAAAATCATCTTATCGGATACTAAACATTCTGTCTTCATTCATAACTTTTTCTTTGTCTCATCTATGAGAAGACAGGAAGATATTTACAAAGACCTTATGCTTGCATGACTGAAGATAAAAATTTAATCATTACTTAAGTAATGGGCTAATGTCCTTCTTCTGTTCAACATCTGTCATTCTCACCAATTTTCTGGAGTCGACTGGGAGATCAGTATATAATGGCTTCATTTCTTGTAGTAGGACTAGCATTTGTGCCATACTTAGTTTGCATCTGCATAAAACGTTGAGGATGACATCCAGCGCAGTGTTCGCGTACACTTGAGGATATTGGATACAGGATACATAGAACAGGTACATCCATCGACTGCAGAGATGTTCTACAATCTAAATCAATGTCGATTAGAATAAGGACATTAGATGATAGACACGTAATGTTGGATGAAGTAGACTGTTGCACTGGTTCAATATGACGGAACTTTGTCTTATAGTCTGTTTGCACTAATAAAAAATTATCACCCTGCGTATCACTTCTTGCCTACACTTCAAATTGATTTTCTGTAATCTTTGTTACAGTCTGGACTTGCATTGTCGAAGGTCAGGGCTGACTTTCATTGCATCATGAAATTTGCTGCCATACTGAACCTACGTAATCTCATTCTTCTCCTAGGTTCAGAGGCTCTTGCTTCATTTGACAGTATGTTGTCATGCACCTCATCTAAGGGCTTCGTAACTGGTGATGCATAACTCTTGTAACTCATAATATGAACCGGGGAAAAACAATAATCTTCAACAAAGGAACCCATTGTGCCAGAATGTACTAATACTTCATGCTTTCATAAACGTGGCGATGTCTAATAAAATGTCATAAGTCATAATGGAAGCACGAATTTCTATAGCAAACATTTAAGAAACCTGTAAACCGTAGAATGAAAGTAACTAGCTAAAAAAATAAGGCACCCACTTACCAACTCACAAATGGAAAGTGTGAATTAGGACAGGAAGTTCCAGAACAAACTTTCTGATGAATTAAAAGATCTCCCATCTCAAACGGGTAAACACTAAAACAGGTAATGACTTTACCGCGTACATAATGAATTCACTTAATAAGTAAAGAAAAGTATGCGCGACGCACCCATGAAAAGTTGATATCGCCTATTGGTTAACTGGTTAACCAATGGACGTACAGTTAAAAGTACCCAAAGTTTCTGCAACGCATCCAGCGTTTTCGATAATGGAAATAAATCGTAGGAACAGTGTATATTTGATATCTTCATAAACTCAGCAGTTGTACAGAAAAAGTTAGTCGTAAAAATTTCAGTTTTTTTTATTATTATTACCATCTTCAAGAATTAATTTGTAGGGATTCTATCTGTGTGAAGTTTGACCACGGACTGATATCAATTAGAGAACCGCAAAAAGCCAGGAAGTGGTGGACAGCTGTTCCATCACAGTTTATGATTTATTGGCGGTACTCACCCACTCAGTTGAACGTGAGGGCGAACACTCACCGACGACATTGGCTGGTGCCAGTTACGCCAAAATCATAAATTAGTAGAAGTTAAAATTCATAGGCCAATGGATCGGATTCCAGTGGCTGAAATGTTCTCGGGTTTACCTTGTAACTGGAAAATCTTGGGTTCAAATCCCAGTGGCTGTGTACTGCTGAGGAGTCACACACTGCAGGTTTTCCAGTGGTTCTCTAACTAACATCAATCTATGGTTAAAACTGAAAAACAGATCAAATCTCTACATACTGACTCTTGATAAAATGTATCATGCTTGCTAAGTTTCTTTTTAACTTTCTTTCTTTAGGGTCCAATGCCAGACGCAGTAACTTCACTGGCTACTTTAATAAGTGTAGCTAAACCAAAATTAAGCTGGAGCAAACTTCTCGATGTGCCCAAAACACCAGCAGCAGCAACAACAACATCAAATACAACTACTTGTAGTACTACTATTACTACTACTAATACTAATACTAATGCTAACAATACCACTACTACGAACACAGTCAGAATAACAACCTCTAGGCGATCATTTACACAAGAGAAAGAAGCATTAGCAGATAAAGAAGTCACCTTATCAAAAGAATTACTGCATAAACCAAACTGTACTGATTTAATTTCTTATTCTTCAACTGAAATTGATATTGAAAGTGTACAAGAAAATTTTCACAAATTAGTTATGTCACACATTGAATCGTTAAGAAGTAATTTTTTAACTAATATACAAATTTTATCAGCGCGTATAGATATAATTGATCAGAGGATAACTCAAATAATGCATTTTGTAAATAGTAATAGTAGTAGTAACAATAATAGATGGAATAATCATATACTGTATAATAACTGATTGTATTCTCAAGATTATACTACTGAAAATGGAAATAGTAGTATTAGTAGCAGCATCAGCAGTAATACTATCAGCAGTGATAATAGCAGGTAGCAGTAACAGCAAACAACCAAAGAAGAATTTTTTAAAGAAAAACAGAAGATTATCTTGAAGCTCTTTATTTGAATTTATTTTAATAGATTAATTTTAAAAAAATGTCTTGAAAATTGAATTTTTTTCTAAATATAAACTTCTTTTTTTTGATAAACTGATACTATTTAATTCAATATAAAAGATTTACAAAATTTCAGCAGTGTGGTTATTTGGTTTACATGCAAAAGTCCATGGAGTGGAGTGCTATTCATCAGTCTTAAGTTTCATTCTTATAAAAAACCAGTAAAACAACAAATTTATTAGGTTAACCTACATTTGATCAAAGTCCATCAGTGATTCACTGGCGGGCAGAATGCTCCCACTTACTTACTTTACCTTACTTTACTTCGGCTATCTCCTACGGGAGGATGAGCCGGCTTCATGAACAGAGTTCATGAAGTTTCATGGGAATTTGGTACGAGTGATGTCCCCAGAATCGCTCGGCCTTTTGTTTGAGAGTGCAGCTCTAGCCTTTACACAACCAGGTGTGGCCTGCAAGGCAGTAGGAGTGGAGTAGGGAGTCCACTATGCATTGGCAGCTGGTGACCGGAGTTCGGTTCATACGCCTTTTTGAATGGGGCCAGACATCCAGGACATCCGACAAGCCCTTTGTCCATACGTCTGCCGGTGAGCTCCAGTGAGCTTCATACGCCAGTCGTTGGAGGTTTGGAATCAGGGTTTAGCCATCTCCCCTAGACTGTCATCCAATGGACAGTCAACCCGGTAAAGAGCGCCGGGCATCCGATTTCGCCCTATCACTTTGGTGCAAAACACCTCCGCCACGTGAAGGCAGTGAGTAGGACTTCCTCAGGAGAGGCTATGTAAGACGCCCGGTCATATGGGAGCATTTCAAGAGGTGTGCGGAGGGGTGGCCAACCCGCAGCGCAAGGCACCCACCCCGGACCATCCTGAGGCTTTGGAGGCAATGCTCCCACCAGACATTTGGGAGATCCGGGTTTGGATTTCTGATGGATACGCTCTGAAATCTGTCCTAGAAAGTTGTAAGCACGCAGAAGAAATGTTTAGAAGAAATCAAAAACATCCAAGTGGATGACAATGAAATAGTCGTGTTCTTTGATGTCATAGTACTATACACTTCAATCGGTCTAAAACTAGCAAAAGAAACTATGCAACAACTACTCCACAGTGATGAGAATACAGAAGCTCAATGTTCAACTTGGATAAAACTCATAGAATTATGTCGTACAACATACTTCCAACTCAATAATCGGAAATTGTACAGGATTAATAGGTGAAGCCATTATGCAAAGATTAGAATTAATAGCCCTACCTATAATTAAACCGAAACTCTGGATACGATACTTTGATGATATATTTCTAAGAGTTAGAAGAAAGGATTTGAAATAAAACCACAAATTAATGAACAACTTATATGAAGAAATTAAATTCACAAGAGAAGAAGATAAGACAACAAAATTCCTCTCCTAGACGTCTTCATCAAGAGAACTAACACAAAAAATTTAGAAACACAAGTATTTAGAAAATCAGCGCACACAGACCAAATAATCAACTATAGTAGCAGTAACTCGGTTACCCACAAATGATAATGTGTGCAGACATTGTTTAAAAGGGTTCAAATACACTGTAGCACTACTCCAGCGTTGAGGAGAATGGAGGAAAAATACCTACTAACTGTCTTCAAAACGAATGGATATCCGCACAATTTAATCAAAAAGTGTTTAAAATCTAGTCACAATATCAGCATGAAACCATCATCAAAGAACACAAGAAAATTCATCCTGCCATACATAAAAAATATCTCTGAAATAACAGCTAAAATGAAGAAACCGTTTGAAGTAGATATAGCACACAAGCTAGCAGAATCACTTCATTCGATATTGTGCAAACCAAGAGATCCAACAGAAAAAGAAGATAAAATTAATACCATTTACAAAATAAATCGTATGAACTGCAACAAACATTACATCGGCCAAAGTGGGCATCACCATCGTGTACGAATCCAATAACATAAATCAACTGTGAGAAGGCACAATATGTACTCTTTCATATCTATGCATGTAGACAATTATGGACATGAATTTGATTGGGATGATGTAAAAATCCTACATATAGGAAACACCAGAAATACCAAGGAATTTCTAGAAGCTTGGTACTCAAATGAACCAGCGGCTACCATACATTACTATAGACCAAATTCACCAGCTAATAAGAAATAAATCACATGACAAAAAAGTTCAAATTCCAAGTCAATAAAAATGATCGATAGAGAAGTAAATTAACAACCAATCACGACAATGGTTGTCAAGACATACAAATAAATACCATTCATGGAGAATTCAAATAAGTTCATTTCATAATGAAACCTGCTCTGAAGATATTGTCTAGAAGGACAGCAAAAGCTCCACAATTAAATCAACCAGCTGAGAGAACACAACTAAACCACAATCATCCACCTGAGCTACAAATCTTCTCCATTATTTCGAAAAGAAGGAAGGCTGGGCATGAGCATTCATAGACCATTTGATTTTATCTTAGCGGCTGAATAGTCAACGAGCTCACCTTGTAATCTGAAGGTCCTGGGTCCGATTGCTGATACAGTCAAGAGCGCGTACGTATGAAGAGTCCCAAACAAGAATGGAATAACTGTCCATTTCTATTTTTGTCTGACCGAAGTCAGTTCGTGATAAGTTAAATCTCTGCAAACTGACACTTTCAGAACTACGCTTCTGGCTATACTAGTTAGATAAGAAATCATTCATTTATAACAGTGGTCTTGACAGACTGTTTCTCTTGAAAATTACTCTCAAACAGATGCATATACCCACATATATTTTAACTCACTTTTATACAAAGACAACTATTCTCAGCTTAAATTATTACACCGTAATCAATTTTACACCTAAATTGTATCTTTGACTTATCTGGTTATACATGGCTGACCATCACCTTCAGTTGTTTCGTCCTAGTTTGGGGGCTCTTCAGCAGTACGAACCCACCACTAGGGATCGAACCCAGGACATCCTGGTTAATAGGCGAGCTGGCGCATAAACCATTAAGCCATTGGGACCCAATCCAATGGCCAGCCCATGAATTCCAAATTCTACCAATTCACGATATAGCGCGACCACTGGCCAATGTCTTCGGAGGGTATTTGTCTTCACACCTGACCTGCTGCACCCCAGGTAACTACCTACCTGAATAGGGCAAGTCGCTAGTAAGCATCTCATTGACTTTCAAATATTGGTTTGTAGGGATTTGATTGATTGGTTACAGGATTGCATCATGAGCTGATATCGGTTAGAGAACCATGTCACACTTCGAAGTATACACGGAAGAACAGAAATCAATCAATGACAAGACAGACAAATATGAATAAGGCAAGAACAACATCTTTTGCAGAATAAAGTGGCACCATCATTTATTTCGTTGGCTTCTCATCATCTGCTTACAGCCCAAATATTACAAATATGTTTGGGAGAGATAATAATTAAATGAAGAGTGGTGATTTTCAGAATTTTAAAGTATAAAGGGGTAACTACGTTAGTGCCTCTTTGAACAATTTATGCATTAAGACAGGAGCCTTGTCATAAGTCAGTTTTTCCTACATCATCTATAAACCGGTTATTCGACTCGAATCTAGATAAAAGGTTACATCACTGGTGCATGCTATCCAGTCAGAACACAGCTTTTATATCTTAAAATAACAATATATAAGTTGACTATGTGAGATAACCATATAATTATAAAAGAGAAGGCGCTCAGAGAAGAGTTACTCTCTTCGGCAATATCATTCTCAAGCTGTACAATTGCATATATACAGTAAATTTTCTTAGCAACAAAAAGAATATTTCCAGAGATGCATCACTAAAATTGTAGATTTTAGATAACAAATCACAAAGGTAAGTTGCGTGAAGTGGTATAATTGACGGTGTTGAGTAGAACTCAACTAAAATTTAAACAGAAGTCAAGTTGACAACAGTGGTAATAAGGGGTAGAGATTTAATAGGGGGTGGGAGAAGAAAACCATACAATTAGGAAACAAAAATTACGTATTTGGTACTAAGATAGATCAGGTCCACTGTAGATTTAACGGCTGAATAAACTTCTTCTGTATGCAGAGTTCAGGTTTTAATATATGAATTACCGTTGCTTCTGCGATTTGAAGAAGTTTGATTCGTACTCTTTTAGCAAAATTCCCAAGTGTTCTGTAGATAACTTTAAGGTTCCTTTGTGAGTTAGCTAGGCGTCCAGATTCGATCAGATATTCCAGGATAGAGCTTCAGGGGGATCTTCTTTCTCCTTTATAAAAGCGTGAGGGTAAGTATCCCATTATGTTTTTGGATAGCAGACGCTGGGTACGGCCGAATTACCTAGATACACATGAGGAGATGAATTGGTAGATGCACACAGAAGCGGCCAACGGTGGTGACTTATCCTTCACCTCCACAGGAATCACTGGTTTGTAGAGAAAGTTATCCGAAGTTCAGTCGCGAAGGTTTCCTTTAGTGAGCGGGATATGCGGTTTCTTAGTATTTCTACTGATGAGTCTCCGTTGAATTGTAGATTCAAGTAGAGGCGCATTTTGTAAGCAGAAAATGTGGGCGGTTTAGGTTTCATGCATTTCGTGATGGAACGTTCTGGGTAGTCACTTTCGAGGGTGATTCTTTTCAAAGTGTTCAGCTCCTCTTCCATAGTATCAGGGCTGCAAGTTCTATGGCTCATTGAACAGATCAGGTTTCGTTCCGTATATACAGGCATCCAACAATGAAAGTTAGTGAGCTTTCCATTCTATGTCGGCTTTCAATAGATAGATCTTTTTAGTGTTTCATCTTGTTCATGTCCTGTTAACTGAACGTCCAAAAAGATATTTTTGTGTCAGACTCCTTCTTTAGTGTGAACTGAATCACAGGATGGCAGCTGTTGAAAAAGTCCAGGATATCCTCTAAAATTCTCCTCATTATTGGAGATTATGGAAGTATCGTTCACGTTTCTCTTGTGAAACCTGAAACTGTCAATCATTTTCCTTAGGTATGTGTTTTCTAGTT